AATAATGCTTTAGTTTGGACTGCCTCAGATTAATGCTGGGTGGTTTTTACATTCAAATGTACTTTCCATTTTTTGGACTTTTCTAAAATTATAAAAAACAAACTTATAACAGTTATTTTAACACTAGGTCACTTCCTTTCCTTTCCCTCTATAAATGGAGAGCAAAAAGTAGAACAGCTTTGCAGGTGAGATTTAAAACTAAAAGAAGTAGGCTGATGTGTTTCAAGGAAAACTTTGAAGAAATGTCAGCAGAATTTATTGCAACTCCAGAAAGGACATGCAGCAGAATTATCAAAAGAGACCAATCCTGTGGTGTTTTTTGATGTTTGTGCGGACGGTGAACCTCTAGGGCGGATAACTATGGAGTTATTTTTTGAACATTGTTCCTCGGACTGCTGAGAACTTCAGAGCACTATGCACTGGAGGAGAAAGGCTTTTGGTTTCAAGAATTCCATTTCTCACGAGTAATTTCCGGCATTTTGTATTGCCAGTAGGTATTATTTAGTACATACCGCATTGGAGGTCTTAACGGGAGTGCACCACACACCAGTGGGAAGATTTGCGGTGTTTTCTCTGGACCTCATCCTTGTATTTTGTTAAGATTCTTTAGGTTTTCCCACATGAATCACATGGGCATCATACCCATTCCCCTGCTCCTGCCTAAGAACTTACGCTAAATAATTTGGCGGGCACAATGGAACTACCTGTATTCAGCCACTTTAGGAGGGCCAAGGCAGGGCAGATTGCTTGCAGCCCCGATTGAGGACCGCCTGGCCAATGTTGGCAAAATCTCATCTGGACAAAATACAGAAAATTAGCGTGAATGGTGTCCCGTCTTGTGGTCCCAGCTGCATGGTTTCTGAGGGTGGGAGATCCAGGAGCCAAGGCTGCAGGTGAGCTAGTTTGCGTCCCTACCACTCCATCCTGGGCGACAGGTGAGACAGCCTGTCTAAAAAATAAAAAATAAAAATTACAAAAAAAGTAATTTTTCCGTACGGGATGGAAAACTTTTCATTTTTCGAATTTTCTTTCAAACAATATGAATTTCTTAGTTTCAATTATATCAGGAAGCTGGGCTTTAGGATTTATCTGTAGGATGAGTTCTGGTTGTGTATTTTAGTGATTTTACTCAGATTCCTATAATGAAAAAAATCTTTTTAACTTTTGTTATACATTTTTTTCAGGGAGGGATATCACGGCAACATGGATGGAACGGCGCAGTCCGACTTTTGAGTGAGATAATTGGAAGATGAGAATGTGTTGATGTGAAGAACAATCGGGTTCCTATTGTTTAATCCATTGCGATCGAATGGCCAGATATACATATAATTCTCAATTTTTTTATAACACTGAAAAAGCAGACATTGGACTTGTAAGCATGTTAGCTCTTTGGGTTGTTAAGATTGCATGATACTGTAAAGATGAATCATTTGGGTCTCTCAAAGGTCTGTTGGTCGAAGTAATACTATCAACAGAATGTGATCATGATATAAAATCTTGGTGTTAGATATGATCTGTTAAGCTATGTTGCTGAGAAGTTAGATTACTTGATAATTATGTTTCAGCTTGAAATATGGCACGTCTGATGGGTTTGTACAGATGTAAAATGCTGGCAGCTTTAGCTGGTTGTATCCTTTATATTATGTTAATGACCTTGGCTATGGTGGAAAATAAGTAACCATGTGTGTTTGAAACATTTAAGGGCTTTAATTCCATTGTTTTAGTAATAACGTGGTTTGCACACACTTTAAAAACCTGGTCTCTTCTCATAAGGATCCGGTAATAGTTCTTCATTGTATGCCAAAGAATCTTTATATCTCCAACACCACGTTCCTTCCACTGACTGACATCCCGATCCCATCTATAAAGTTTGGCTCTCTCTTTAAACAAAATTTCTTCATCTTCTTCTCCAGATTTTACTTCTACCTATAATAGGAGATGAAATACTCTATAAGCTGCTGCTTATAATAAATTCCATGACAAATTTCAAAGATCCAAATTCTTTTAAGGCATTTTCTTTGTGATGACAAAGAGAATTTGTTAATATAATAATTGGTTATATATCTTAGGGCTAGGAATACATCTGATGTGGCTGAGGGAGTAAAGACCTGATTTGTCATTAAATATTTTCTTTTATATAGTATTCATTTTCCCTTTGGAAATTAAATGCTTTTCTTTATAGGAACAGAGGTTTCAAAAGTGTCTGCTACTGAAGAGAAATATATAAGATACTGAGGTTAAAAATGACAAAATAATTTTCCTAGAACAATGTTCTTGTCCAAAAAACACAGATTAATGTTTATTGAAAGGACTTTCGTGAGTATGAGGTTAATTTTTCCCCAGAATCATGTTATAAAAACAAACATGATATTCTAGAAACATACGAAAAAATTATTTCTTCCCAACAATTACATATAGAATTTACAAACCAGTATTTATGTAAAAACTGCAAAAAGATAATTTATACTTAAAGGCTAGACATCTAATAAATAGAGCTTCCATTTCAAACTGTAAACATTCTTAAATGCCAACAATGATACCCTGACAGATCAAGCCAGGGTAAGTGTTAAACCTAAAAATGAAAAATAAGTTATTAGTAAACGTTTAATTCCTTAACATTTACCTCTGGTAGTGACACTATTGGTTCAAAATGGATATCTTCATTATGAACTACTTCTTCATCACTACCATCTTCATCTTCACCAACTTTACCAATTGACTGGGTTCCGACTGACTGTGTTCCAAACACAGCCGCTCCAGTATTTGCCCATTGGAAATTTTTATCTGATGAATAAATCAAGATATTTAAACACTGGTATCTATTTTTTACATTTTTCATCCCCCTCTTATTTTATCAATCCTTCTAATTCCCGATGATGTAATATGTACATCAATTTTAAATGTTTAAAACTATATTATTCTAGTAAATTCCTCACGCCTGTAATCCCAGCACTTTGGGAGGCCAAGGTCACCTGAGGTCAGGGGTTCCAGACCAAACCATAGCCAACATGGTGAAACCCTATCTCTTCTAATAATACAAAAATTAGGCCGGGCGCAGTGGCTCATGCCTGTAATCCCAGCACTTTGGGAGGCGAAGGTGAGCGGATCGCCTGAAGTCAGGAGTTCGAAACCAATCTGACCAACATGGAGAAACCCCATCTCTACTAAAAATACAAAATTAGCTGGGCATGGTGGCACATGCCTGTAATCCCAGCTACTCGGGAGGCTGAGGCAGGAGAATCACTTGAACCCAGGACGCAGAGGTTGCAGTGAACCGAGATGGCGCCACTGTACTCTAGCCTGGGCGGTAAGAGGGAAACTCCGTCTCAAAAAAAAAAAAAACGCCAGGCGTGGTGGTATGCACCTGTGGTCCTAGCTACTTGGGAGGCTGAAGCAGAAGAATCGCTTGAACCTGAGAGGTGGAGGCTGCAGTGAGCCGAGATCGCCCCACTGCAGTCCAGCCTAGGCAACAGAGCAAGATTCTGTCTTAAAAAAAAAAAAAAAAGTTAGTGGTGTGTGGTTGTGGGTGACTGTAATCCCAGCTACTCAGGAGGGCTGGGGCAGAAGAATCGCTCGAACTTGAGAGGCAGAGGTTGCAGTGATCCAATATCACCCCACTGTACTCCAGCCTGGGCAACAGCAAGACTCTGTCTTACAAAAAAAAAAATTAGCCGGGCGTGGTGGCGGGTGCCTGTAATCCCAGCTACTCAGGAGGCTAAGGCAGGAGAATCACTTGAACTTTGGTGGCAGAGGTTGCAATGAGCAGAGATCATGCCAAGATCATCGCCATGATTCCAGCCTGGGTGACAAGCCAAGACTGTCACCGAAAAAAAAAAAAAAAAAGAAAAAAAACCTTCATACTGGGAGTACAGACATACATATTCGTTAATCTGTTTAATGCTTAGAAATACAAAGATAAACACTGTCACGCCTGATAAACTCGTAATTACTAAACTACACAAGGACTTCCGCAGTAAGAAGTTCAGTTCTTTCACCTCTTCCCTAAAATTCAAGTATTCACCTTGAATTTGTAAACTTAGCTCAGCAGGCCAAACCTGCTACTTGCCAAATTAGCCACAATAGGCCTAAACCATGTTTTTATAATTTCTGCATCTCTACTTCTTCTGAAGAATGCTAGTGCTGGAATGTTGATTTCTGGCTGGCTGGTGAAGCAAGCGCTGGGAGAAACCCTCACTGACTTTCAACGCCCAAAGGTATTAGACTGTTAAACATAACCTAGCTTCTGTGCTGGGGACCAATGAATGGTCCTCCTCTCCTGCAACCTGCAAGAAGTGAGAACTAGAAACTTCTCCATCCCACACC